TCTGAAATCTTGACATGAGCATTGTCTGTGCCACTTGCATTGGGACTTAGAATAAGCAATTTTCTATTGTTATTTATCTTCATATGCATATGTCCTATTTATCCAACAGATTGGGAGCTTTTGAAGGTGGGGACTGTGTTTCCCTAGCTTCTAGCAATGTGCCTTCCACTTAATGGATGCTTAATCAGTGGTTGTTGAGGTTTAGCGGGGTGTTCTGTCCTCTCAGTCTCCCGAAGACAGAATTATTTGTGAGATTTATTCTGAAATTTGAAGAGCAGTATTATCAAAGAGAGGAGAACTCAAGGTCATTCATCATCTGTTGCATCTTTGGTAGTCTCCCAGTGTGTGTTTGGGGTTTGGAACAGTAATAGCTGATATTATTTTAACCATCGAATATGTTTTACTGCTGAGGTATCTATCTGTAGCATAAAGTTATCCATTGATCATTGTCATAATAATTTGGTTATTATTTATAAAAGACTAAGTTAAAATGTCTACAGTGTTTATCTCTATGTAGTTATGAATATCTTCATTGTCTTTGTTTTTTCAAAATTCTCCACAATCAATTAGTATTACCTTTATAATCAGAAAAAAAAAAAAGGGAAAATTATAAAAAGTTTTAGTTTCTATTCTGGTAAACCAAATTATGGAAAATTTTAACAGTATAAATGCCATGCTAAATATTAAATTAAAATCTAACATCATAAAACTTCACTGCTAGATGAAGATGATGCTCCCTGACGTTGCTGTTGGTAGGTGCCCTCGAGTCAGTTCCGACTCATAGCAACTGATGTACAACAGAGTAAAACACTACCCAGTCCTGCACCATCCTCACAATCGTTGTTATGCTCGAGCCCATTGTTGTAGCCACTGTCTCAGTTTATCTCACTGAGGATCTTCCTCTTTTTCTCTGACCGTCTACTTTACCAAGCATGAAGTCCTTCTCCAAGGACTGGTTCCTCCTGATAACATGTCCAACGTATGTGAGATGAAGTCTCACCATCCTTGCTTCTAAGGAGCATTCTGGCTGAACTTCTTCTAAGACAGATTTGTTCATCCTTCAATATTATTTGCCAATGCCATAATTCAAAGGCATCAATTCTTCTCAGGTCTTCCTTTTCATTGTCCAGCTTTCGCACGCATATGAGACGACTGAAAACCATGGCTTGGGTCAGGTGCACCTTAGTCCTCTTTGCTTTTGAACACTTTGACATCTTTGCTTTTGAACACTTTGAAGAGGTCTTTTGCAGCAGATTTGCCCACTGCAATGCGTCATTTGATTTCTTGACTGCTTCTCTAATGGGCATAGATTGTGGATCCAAGTAAAATGAAATCCTTGACAACTTAAATCTTTTTTCTGTTTATCATGATGTTGCTTATTGGTGCACACCTTTTCTGATTTTAAACCATTCAATATCCCCTTGTTCTGTTCGAAAGATTGCCATTTCCTGATACGTATCTACAAAAGGAAAAATGGCAATACTTAAATGAACATAAACACAACTCCTTAAAACTCTTTAAATATGTTTTAAATTAGTGTAGCAATACTCCATTTGTTAATTAAAGTGTAAAAAACAAAAAAGGCAAAATTCTTCCTTTTCTTCTCATCAGTGGAGGTGAGAGTTTGGGTATACCTGCCTCCACCTTCAGAACAACCATAAGGAAACAGAGCCAGGTTCCTAGCCTAAGGGAAACCGTTGTTGAATTAATGCCAAAAACTTACAAGGCATGTGTCTGCTTTGCAGGTTGCTCAGTGGACATGCTTATATAAATTCCGAGCATTCAGATGGACCCTTATTCAGTGTGAAAAAGTTCAAGGCAAATGACCCCAGACAGCTACTTAAAGATATCCATTATTGACAGTAGTATCACACTTCTTTAGGACTTCTTGGGCACTTGAATATATCCCTACAAAATACAACTCTGTGGTGAGGATAGATTTTAAGCAACGTTTGCCTGGTGGTACAGTGGTTCAGCACTTGACTGCTACATGAAAGGTTGGTGGTTCAAACTCATCAGCTGAGCAGCGGGAGAAAGATGTGGCAGTCTGCTTCCGTAAAGATTACAGCCTTGGAAACCCTGTGGGCAGTTCTGCTCTGTTCTACAGGGTCACTGTGAGTTGCAATCGACTCAGTGGCAGTCAGTTAGGCTTCTAAGCAAAAGGGAGATCAGCAGCTCTTGCCTAAACTGGTCACGTTTTCTGTAAATTCTTCCTTCCTCCGTCACACCCTAGTTTCTGATATCGCTTAAGCAATACATAGAAAGGGTACATTAACATGGCTTAATATCAAGTCTTTTATGTCCGTTATTAGTTGTACATCACTTTAGATTGTTGTCATAAGTTGTTCAATGAAAAGATTTAGTCAAAGCTAGCATTCTTGACTGACGTCTTTTTTCCCAGGAGTGTAGAAAATTTGATTGTTCAGAGTGCAAATATGATTCAGCAAAGCATTTATCAGAAACCTTAAAGAGGTAATGTAAAAAAGTAGATTGAGAAACCTGAATTAAATGGGCTTTACCAGTCAAAGACTGCTTTCTTGTGGGTGACTGGAATGGAGCAGAACAAAGTCAATTACTGACTGTAATTAAGAAGTGGATGCATTTAAACTGTAGAGAGCAGTAGCAGTCTTCTCCAGACTGTCTGGTAACTCTAAAGACTAGTGGGAAGACAGAGGATATGAACTGTAGCTCTCTGATAGTATGTTTCGAATGAATTGCATTCATATAGTTCTCTGATCTAGCTTTCAGACATAAATTTGTAAATCCCTGATTATGTATGATTAATACAGTAATATATTTGGACAAAGAAACTTTTAAAATACATTTTGCTTTTGGTTGTGTTAGTAATAGAAGATCCCCTTCGCATAGTGTGCACCAAAAATGCAGATGTATCACTGAAGTTCTTACATTTTATCACTGTTTGAATTTACTAGACTGAAAACTGAACTATGTTGGCTTTTTCATAAACTCTCAAAATACAGTAAATCTAATTATGTTTGTTTATTGTACTTTGAAAATGTTATTCCTTTTTATAATTTTAATAACGGTTTATTTATACTGGCAGAGAAATATTAGAGTATACATCGTGCTTGGTCTAAGTCTTTTTTTTTTTTTTTGAGTATGTTAACAAATGCTGATGTTACATAGTACATTCATAATCAAAATATTTAAATTCGTATTAGGATACAGGTAGAGGCCAGGGATATTACTAGTTTTCTTGGGTTAGTTAGAAGTGACCTTATATTTTTAGATTACTATTTCTGTGGCAACACTTTATAAAGTAAATATTTGGGACTTTATGTAAGTAAAGAACATTGCAGTGGATGTGTTCAGATAATTAGGCAAACATCAGCTTAACTGCTTTTTAGTGGATGTAAAAAACAGAAGATGCAGCTATTTTAAGCCATCCCAAATCTTACATTCTGTTTTATAAAAAAGAGAATTACTGGCCCCAGTAATCTGTCAATTCTAGTGTAGGTAATTAAATTATTATCATTTCTCAATATTTCAGTTTTTATAATTGGATATACTTTGGTGTTTTTTGTTGTTTATTTTTAGTTTTGACTTAAAGCACTAAACATTTATTATGACAGATAGTTTATGTGGGTTGGGATTATCGGAGCGAAACTGGATATACTTTGGATAGTTCCTCTCCTTGCAGTTGCAAAAAATACAGCGTAGATACGGAAATCCATCTCACTGAAGAATGAGTGCATTTTACTAGGTAGGTAAAAATAAATGACAAGTGGATATATATGCATGTGTGTCATCAAAGATTTCTTAAAAACTTCAGGATCATCATCACTAAATGTTGCCATAAGAATCACTGAAACCTTCCGAGTGAGCCCTTTGGGGTAATAATTGCCACTTTAATGGTAGAATTATGTAAACATACTGAAGCATGATTTGTGATTATCAGAACCTGTGCCACATTTCAACCTTCACCACCTATTTAGAGCAAGTAAGGCTGAGAAGAGCTGACTGGCTTTTGAATGAGTATCTTGAAATGTCAGTCCTCTAAACCTCTGAAGTCGCTTGATGTGTGACACTAGCGAGCAAATGTTGGGCAGAGGTTCATCTCCCTGTTGAAACAAAAAGTCAATAATACAAAGGGAAAATCTTCACAGTTCAGATTGATGGTCTAATACAAAAGGTGTTTCTACACCCATTCTAATCAAATTCTTCTCTAAGTAGCCCTTTATGTGTGAAATCAAGAGTATTGCTCTGTTTCTATAGGGCCACATCCTTCTCTCACAATTCTGGGAAGAAAAAAGTTGACTGGAATGGAAAATATTACATGCTAAATATTACCAAATACTTAGCACCATTGTAAGATGGGAACCGGGATATTCACGTGATAAATACTCTTCATGAGGGGGTTGAATATTTAAATGAACTTTTATTCTAATAAAGTTCCTTTACGGGGAAATTGGTTCTTTTTGACTTTCCGATTGATCTTTATGATAGAAAAGTAGAAATAGCCAAATGTTATTCATTTGAATGACCTTTTGGAAACGTCCGTGTTAGTCTCTTTGGTAAATAATCTGTTTTAGAACCCTCTATAAAAGGAAATCAAATATAGAGATACTATTAGATTTGAAAACGACAAACAGGAAAGAGCTAAAAGTGCAGAATGAATTCTGACACACCCTCATGCATTTTTCTGAGGGTTCTGACTTAAGTGTGTTCTGTCTGCATTACTCGGAACTTCCTGGCTTGTTTCTTCTTGAGCTAGAGTAATTCAGCTTTAGCCCTACTCGGAGTTAATCATTCCATTATTAAAACAAGAATGCATTTGTTATGACATGAAAAAACAGTTTATAGAGAGCAGTTCAAAATGATTCTGGTCTCCCAGTTCCCAGAAAGACAATTACTGGAATACAAGAAAATATTTCAGTGTATTAAAGTGTGTTTTAAAAAAAGGATTTTTTTTTTTTTAAAGTAAGAAATGTATCTTATATGGTTTGCTTACCTGTCGTTTTTTTTTTTTGTTTTTCCAGATCACAACAGTATCAGGAAATGAGTTCCTTCTACAGTCAGATATTGAGTTCATCACATTGGATTGGTTCCACGCTATCAAAAATGCAATTGACAGATTGGTATGTATTTGTTTTGGCTGTTACCTTTATTAATTAAAATGTAGTCATTTAAATCTTATTGCTTAAGCATATAACACACATTTAAATGGGTCCTATGCACTGAGAGATACTAAGTTCTTTTGAGTTTTAATAGAGTCCACTAAAACCCTTTTCAGAAGACAGGATTTGTGAAGCTAAATGTCATTTGATTTCTCTCTTTCAAAAATGCAGTGCATTCATTTTTTTTTTCCTGAAATAACATGGACATTCATTTACTGGAGTCTGTAAAGTGCACACAGGCACTTAATAACTACTGAATTTTTACATTTTCAGTTTATGCAGCCTGTAATACATATTCTTGAAAATAAATATCAATGTATTTAAGCCTGTGCTCACTGTTATAATACCAGTAAATAATAGTCCTTTGTAACTGATTCTTATTATTCCTCTAGCTAAGCTAGGTTATTCTCATGAAAATTATGTATCTAGAACTTTATGAAAATACCGTAAATCACACATTCAGAGTATGTTTTTTTAAAAGAGTCAAATTCTTTAAGACTACTCATTTTATACTGACTCTGGAACAAAAATCTAACTTTATGACACTAATATTTACAAAATATTGAGGAAAAATATTCTTGAGAGCTTTTATTAAGGTTTACAATAAGAGAATACATTTCCTGTGTGATTTTATTGATATTTAATTACAGTCTTCCGTTGTATTATTTTGGTACTACAACTTTAAAGAAATAAAATACAAATGGACTTTTTCCCATCATCGGTATCATCCCCTTAGACACACCCTGTCCTTAGAGACACACACATACTCACATTAGTACAATGTTGTCATTAAGAGTGGACTCTGGAGCCAGACTGCCTGAGTTTAATTCCTGGTTCTGTCATTACTAGCTGGGTGGCCTTAGGCAAATTACTTAACCTTTTTGGCCTCAGTTTCCTCATCTGGAAAATAAGCATAATATTAATACTACCTTCCTAATAGGACTGTTGCGATGATTGAGTTAATGCATGTAGAGTGCTTGGAATAATGCACAGCATTTATTAAGCAGCATACACATATGTAAAACAATTATTAAATTTAAGTATTGAGCTTAGCATATAGGCTTTATCCCAAAATAATTATTGGATTTCAAGCTTTCCTTTAAATCTATCAAAATAT